AGAAAAACTCGGATGATATATAGAAATCTAAACATTAAAATGAAAGCACATCATTTTTACAATATATAATTCAGCTACTACTAATTAATTAAAGTAATAATAAATTAAAGGTTAAATGAATCTTACATCGTTTGGATTATAAAATGATGAGTACTTGCTCACATAACGTTATCATCTTTGGAAAGTGTGTTGTTATCTTTGGAGCACGAAACAGGTTTATTTTAATTTTACACATGAAGGTACCCTGCGTATTTCACTTTCAACGCCCAGCAAAATCCTGGTAACTGAACTTTGTTCACATTTGATTGATAATCATATGATTATCTACTATGTAAGCTGTTGATGCATATGAACATATTCTAGACAAGGTAATTGCACGATGAAACCCAAAAGTTAAGGCTGGCTTCCGTTTTTAGTAATTCAATGCTCCTCTTGCGGTAAAAAAAATTTAGGTGAGCCAGTAAATAAATGAAACCTTATACAAGTCACTCACCACTGGTTTCTATTCTCAAAAGTCAATAATCAACGTCTTTCTTCTAAATATTTCAGTTGAACTAGTCCATCTTTTCTTCCTTCACTGGCAATCACAGACAAAACTAGATTAATCGGTAATAGGAATTAAGACAAATAACAATATAACTCACTGAAGGTGACAGGGATTCTGGAATTTGCTCCGAAATAGTTGTGCCTTAGATAATGCAACAAATCATTGTCTTTAATTAATTTCTTCTCTCAAAGCCTTTTAATATTGTTCATGATTTTAAGAATCAACAAGTCAACAAATTTCAAGCCACCAATCATTAATCTCTATATAATATAAGATACACGTCTGAGGGATACAACTTCACAATATGGAGCACAAGGACTGCACTGTTTCCTTGGTGTTATTAGCTGCCATGCTTTGTGTTTATTCCAGGATTGACTTTGTGAAAGCGTCTATAGTTAGAACAGAAAAAGGTTTCACTCACGAAGCATATTCGAAACATGGTTTCACAAAAATGATGATGAGTAGAGCCATCCAAGATAGATCTAGCCGCAGTAGAAGATCTATCCTGGAGAAAGGTGATAGTGGACACAGAGATGTATGTGCAGGTATGTTGTTACAATTTGACAAATGTTTCTGATACTCTTCATAAATAAATTATATACACCTTATATGCGTATTCACACACTTCCAAAAACATAGAATCATAAACTTGCAGTAATGAAAAGATATGCAGTAACAACTGAAAGTGTGGTATTTTTCCATGGAATGGCCTTTGGCCTTGGAATTCATTTATGAAGTAAACGTGTACAGTATGGGCTACATAAACAAAATAAGATGGGTCTATACTAGCTATACATGCGTACATGGTACGCTAATACGGGACCGCCATTTGAGCGGGAGGTCTTGAGCGGACACTCAAATTGGATATGAAATCATTGAATAATGTAGTAGCCAGTCCCGTGGTGAAGATGTCAGCATACGGGCATACCGAAGATTGGAGGGAACATGGAGCAGCCGAAAAGAACCAATTGCAACCTTGTCTCACAAAATTTGAAGATCAATCTTGATATGCTTGTTGCTGAATAGGATTAGAAGACATGTAATCGCGTTTATGTTATCACAATAGGCAATGGTTGTTTTGGTGACTTGGGAGTGTAGCTCGCGAAGAAGGTTACGTAGCCAACATGTCTCTGCTATGACATTGGCAACTCCCTGGTATTCTGCTTCTGCAGTGGATCGGGAGACAATCTGTTGCCGTTTGGATGACCAAGACAGAAGGTTTTCACCCAAGAAAACATAATACCCACCGGTGATCGACGTGTGGTTGGACATCCCCCCCCCCCCCCCAATTCGCATCAGAGTAGGCAATAAGGCCCGTGGTTGAAGAGGGATGGATCTATAATCCATAATAAGGAGTACCGCTGACATGTCGGAGCACGCGCTTCAAGGAGTTCAGATGCGGTTCCCTTGGATCATGCATGTAGAGAAATATTTGTTGTACTGCAAAGAATAGATCCGGGCGAGTGAATGTAAGGTACTATAAGCTACCAGCTGAATTACGGTATAAGGTAGGGTTGGACACAAGAGTGCCATCACAGTCTAGTTTAGATTGGGTAGTGTTCTGCATGGGTTACAATTTGACATGTTTTCCCGGTCGAGAAGTTCCAACGCGTATTTGCATTTGGATAATAACATGCCTTTGTTCTCTTGTGTCACTACGATGCCTAAAAATTAAGATAAGTCACCTATGTCCTTCATGGTGAACTCAGTGGCTAGAAGGGAAATGGTGCACTGAAGAAGCCCTACAGAGGAAGCGGTAAGTATAATGTCATCCACATAAAGAAGTAATGAAGCTGTCTCCGTACCCCTACGAAAAAAATAAAGATAGTCACAACGACTGTGAGTAAAGCCGATCTGAGTGACATATAATGCAAAGCGGTGAAACCAAGCCCGATGAGATTGTTTCAGCCCATAAAGTGACTTCTGCAAATGGCAGACATAGTCCGGGTGAGCTGGATCTCTAAATCTCGGAGGCTAATGCATGTTGATTGTCTCATTAAGTTGTCCGTGCAAGAAGGCATTTTTGACGTCTAACTGATGAATAGGACACTTATGAGAAACCGCAAGGCTAAGAGAAGTATGGATAGTAGCCGGTTTGACTACTGGGTTGAAGGTCTCATCATAATCAATATCAGGTCGTTGGATTTTTCCATTAGCAACCACCCGAGCCTTATATTGCTCAAGAGAAGCATGTGCTTTGTATTTCTTATGAAACAACCACATGAAGCGCACAATATTAGCCTCAGGAGGCTTAAGAATAAGGACCCATGTTCTATTAGCAATAAGAGCATTAAACTCATCCTTCATGGAAAATGGTCCAGTTTGGTTCTTGAAGGGTTTGAGTGTGGGATCGAGGAAGTGGAGACTCGCTAATGGTGTGAATATTAAGACGTTGGATGGTTTCATTGATACCCAAGCGACCCCTAGTGACCATAGGATGGGTAGGGGTGGGTTCGTTGAAGGTTTGGGAGGAGGTGTGGGGGAGCCGAGAGGGGAATGAGAGTGGTGTTCGAGGGACCGAGAGGTGAGGGAGTAGGGGTGGTGACCTCATGAGTGGTAGGTGTAGAGGAAATAAGAAACTCACGAAATATGGGTCGTTAGGAAAGGGAGTTATCAAGGAAAGAATAGGATGGAGCTTGATTTGGTATCATGGAGCGATAAAGGAAGGAGAGCTCGTAAAAAATGACATGGAGGGAGATGATGATTTTGCGAGTGGCAAGATCGAAAAAATGGTAATCACGGTGATCAGATGGGTATCCAATAAAGATACAATGAGTGGATCTAGGGGCTAATTTAAGTGGTATGGGAAGGTGAGGATAACAAAGGCATCCAAAGACTAGAATATGAGTGTATGATGGTAGTTTTTGAAAGAGGTTAGTGTATGGGATTTCATTATTAATGGAAATGAAAGTAGATAGGTTTAATAGGTGAATCTCCATATGAAGCGCTTCAACCCAAAAATTCGGTGGTAGGTGAGCATGTAAAAGAAGGGTGCGTATGATGATATTGATTGTACAGATAATACGTTCGAATTTTCTCTTTTGGTGGGAAGTGCGAGGGCACGAGAAACAGAAAGTGATTCCATGTTGGGCAAAAAGTTGTGGAATTGTTTGTTGTCGAATTCACCGCCATGGTCACACTGGAAAGATTTAATTTTAGTATTAAATTGGTTTTTGACAAAAACTCTATAGCGAATAAACTTGGAAAAGACATCAAATTTATTATGGAGAGGGTAAACCCAAACAAAGTGGGTAAAGTGGTCTAGAAAAACAATATAGTATTTTATGTCATTAATGCTCACAACCGGAGGTTCCCACATATGAGAGTGAACTATATGAAATAAACCAGAAATGACAGTGTTTGAACTAGAAAAAGGTAAACGAACATGTTTACCAAGTTGACAAGCTTGGCAACGAATAGTGTTTGGAGTTTTATTACAATCGATAAAATGAATAGAAATTAATCGATTAAAAGCATTGGCTCCGGGGTGACCAAGATGTTGATGCCACAAGGATGTCCTGCCGGATGGAAGAGAAACATGAGTTTAAGGAGGAACTTTATAGAGGTCATTGGAGTTGTCACACCTAAGCAGAAGCTGGAGAGTTTGAAGGTCCTTCATAGAAAAACCAAACATATCAAATCCAATGGAAACTTGTTTAGCAGTTGTAAGTCGACGAACATATATGAGATTTTTGATATCATTAGCTGTAGCTAAAACATTTTTAAGATAAAAAGGACAATGGATTGAAGGAGATGTGGTTTGACCGGTATGTGTAGTGGATATAGGTGAACCATTGCCAAGAGCTTGGAGTTTACATGTGTACGAGGCGAGGTGAGACGTAACACCTGTATCCATATACCAGTTGGGATCCGATCCATCATTGTGGTGCATTGCATAAAGAGCCTCTATAATATCTATAGGTTGGTCTGGAGTCAAGGGTGGGAACAATTATATTGGAGGAACAAGTACAAGCGAAGCAGAGGCAGCGTAGAAAAATATTGTTGGTTGTTGTTGTAGAAACGCAGTAGCTGATGGCTGAGAAGGAGTAGTGCCGAGGATTCCCTATTGAGGCCGATGATGTTGATGCTATGACAGAGGGCTTGCCGGTCAACAGGGATGCTACCATGTGGAACAGGGCCACATAAACGGATTCCAATGGACTGAATATGGAGACCAAAGTAATTGTGGTTGTTACTAATTGGCGACAGCATGATGGTGGCGACTGCCTTTGGCTTGTGGGCCACCACGACAAGGTTGGGAAGGCCTACGACCTCCACGATTGTTGTTGCTGGTTGGAGCATGAAGTTGTGGAGTAGAACAGTTGCCAGCATGAAGGGAAGTGGGTGAATATAGATGGTCTATATGGAGAGGTTGAGTGGGTCGGTTTCAATTTAAGGTCCGTTCCTCCAGAGATAGTATTGACCGACATTTGAAAAAAGATGGTAAAGGGCCTTAGTGGCGTAGGACCGTGATGATGTTGTCATATTTTGGTGATAAGCCATTTATAAGGTATGTGAATAGGGTTGGCGCAGCGACAGGTGATATGATATTGGTGAGAAGATCTAAAATTACCCTCATGCATTCACAATATTGAGAGATTGTGAGATCGCCAAGAGTAAGAGTCTGGAGTCGCTGATCTAATTCAATGGCACGACTTTGTTGATTATCACGGAATAAAGTTTCTAGACCTGTCCAAACAGTGTGAGCGGTTACATCCTCTTTGAGAATCATGTTGAGCAAGCTTTGAGTGACTATGTCGTATATCCACATCTTGACTAGGTCATCAAGATTAACCCACGCTTCATCCTTGTTATATTTAGGTTTGGATTCTCTTCTAATATGACCCTTGACCCTAAAACTGCTACTGTTCGTTTGAAAAAGTTCTTTCCAGGCATCGTAGTTCATCTAATTGAGATCGAATATCACAGGAACATAAGTTTTGATATTGGTGACACCAAATGGTTTTTGGTTCTTGGATGATTCAGACATGTTAATGGGGAGTGGAATATATCAAAGAATGAAAAAGGGTAGAAAAGAATCAATAGAGGGAGAAGGGGGTCGACTACAACGTGTTTGATAGCGGCATAGGGTTTTAGCGAGAGAGAGGAAAGATTTTGGCGGAATTCTATGATACCATGAAAGTGCGGTATTTCCCACGAAATGCCGTTTGGCCTTGGAATTCATCTATAAAGTAAATGTATACAATATGGGCTACATAAACAAAATAAGATAGGGCTATACTAGCTATACATACATATAAAATACATACTAGTATACATGGTACGCTAATAGCATCATGTAGTATTCACACAAGTTTGTTTGTTGGTAACTTAAAGAAAAACAAAATAGTGCTTTCCAAAAAAACATTGATAACCCTAGAATAAATGATCATTAACATCTATTTGATAATGCTAGTCAATTTTGTCAAGTACCAAATCTCCTATAAACAAATTGTACCAAATTTTGTTGTTATTGTTATTATAACATTAAATATATATAATTCTTGTTTATATTGTTACATTTTTTTCCTTTTCTTATTCATTTTGTTTCTGGCGGGTTTGATATTTGATTGACAAAAAAGACATTATATGGCCACTACGGAACAGTCCCAAGAAAATGAAAAGTCCATGCCCAAAATTAGAGGTATGGGTGCCAAAGAAAGATGGCTTCACTGAGTTCATAAAAGTGAACGAGAAATCAGAAGTCGAAGGTGGATTCTCCATAGCCATATTCTGCCATGCATTGCATTTATTACCATATAGTGTCAAACCCAACTTCAGACTGTTCATCAATGACACGGGGAAAAGTAGAGGTACTTATGATCAACTCGTTGAGCATATTAAAGGCAAGGTACATTTATCAAAACATATCTATATCAATGCACAAACATTTAGAAATTCATGCATGTATTCAACACATTTTTTAAGCATGCATAGACTAGTCGACAACAAACAAACAAACATCCACAATTCATAGTTTAATTGGAGAGTTGAATGACAGTGAAATTCCTAGTTAACATTTAATATATTAAATTCAATCATAATTGGATACCACATTGATGTTCAATAGATATGAAGTTTTATAGCCACCGGTAGTGTGAAAAAAATCAATGGATGGAGTTCAGTGTCATAAATACTTTGTTTCTATATATGTTAGATTGAATTTTTGAAGACTTCAACAGATTATAAAAAAATGGTTTAGTTATATGTAAAATAGAATGACGATGTTGTTGGGAATGCAACAAAACAAGTTAAGCAACTTCAGAAAAACGATAAACATTTCGGTAAAACTTGCGGAATAAAACTACTAAAAATTGCATACTAAAAACTGTAAATAGGAACACGTATTTAAAGTGATTCGGTCTAATGTTACCTACATTCACCGGCGAATGAGAGATAGAAGATTTTATTATCACCAAGAAAATTACAATCATTCAAGGCTAAATTGCGCTTATAATCTGATCACTTACTATAAGGTATCACTCAAATTTTTGTCTACGTATAGATAATAAAAAAAAGACTACTTCAGTATATTTTTTATTTGATTTGTGGCTCTTTGTTGAGTGTGTATCTAATTTGTGCTCATGCACCGCAATATATATATATATATATATATATATATATATATATATATATATATATATATATATATATATATATATAGAGAGAGAGAGAGAGAGAGAGATACTAGATGTGTGTCCGCGCACAGAGCCGGTCCAAAGATATAGTGGGCCCAACGCGAAAAGAAAAGAATTGGCCCTAAAGTTGAAAATAAACAAACCATTATAAAATTCATTATTAATATTAAAAAGCAAAAATATGGCCACAACATTACAAAAACAACTAATTTAAAGAAAAATATTTTTCCTAGCATTTTTAGATAAGTTTATTCCTCGGGCTTTCCCCGTCATCGGACCGAAGTCCGAAAACATATAACCTACATCGGGATAGCCCCGACATTGGACCTAAGTCTGACATACGCAATCATACATAAACGGGCCAACATTGGTGCCTTCGACCCATTCCTACCGGAGGAAAACTCACCTCAAATGTCGAGTGAAATAGTTGAACGTCTCTGCTCCTGCAATCGGCTCTACTCACGCCCTATACAAAACAACCCCTTAAATACCATTCCTTACATCAAGACCACTTCACTGCTCAACCTTGGTCAAAGTCAAGGTCCAAGTTAAAGTCAACGCTCAGTCAAATTCAAAGTCAACACTCCGAGTTGACTCAACTCGTCGAGTAATCCCCCTGACTCGCTGAGTTCCCTTGCTACTCGTAGTCATGATAGAAAGAGTCAACTCGTCGAGTCCCTTTACAGACTCGTTGAGTTCTACCCTGTACAGAATTGGGACAAATGGACACAACTCGTCGAGTCCCTCTCTGGACTCGTCGAGTTCCTCAGTCTGTTTGGGCCATCTTAATGGATTAGGTCCCAACTCTTCAGATCTAAGCTTCATGCTTCTCATATATACTGAAAATGTCATTTTAAGGGTAAAGTTTCCAACTTTACCCGTTAATACCTTTACTTAATGGGTTTATCTAAAACCCTAACTCCTTAGGACCTAGATCTTGGTCCATAAGCCATCCATACTCCAAACTAAAGCACACAAACAAAGATGTAGACCCTGACCACTACATGAACACGTAAAGCTTCCACCTTTCACTCCATGCATGGCCTTTTGGATCTTAAAAGGCAGAAATGACATTGTATGGCTTGCATGGGGCTTCAATGGCCATAAATTTTGCACCTTTATGCCATGAAAGCCCCCCATGATTCTAGATCTAAAGGTATACTCACTTGGGACGTCCATAACCCAAAGATCAAGCTTCTTGGACCAAAACCCCAATAAAGTGGTAATAAGGAGATCTAAGAAGCTACTAAGCAAGTTTGAGACTTGATTACCAGAAAATGATGAGGATGAAATGGAGTCTCTGCATCTACTAACTTCTTCTTGAATCCCCAAGCTTCTCCTTCCTTCATAAGCTTCAAAACAGACCAAGTTTCACTAAAAAATGGCTCACAAGCTCACAAATGCATTAGGGTTTCTGAATCTAGGGTTTGGGACTTGAAGGTTGGGAATGAGGCCAACAAGTGGGGATTAGGATGCTTAAATAGGGTGCAAAAGCCCGAAATTAGGGGTTTCATTCTGGCAGCCCTACTCGTCGAGTTGAGGCACTCAACTCGTCGAGTAGGTTACTTAAAATCCAGAGTCTTTTCTAATTTCTACTCAACGAGTTTGGGGCTCCCAACTCGTCGAGTTGCTCTACAAAAATGAATAAATTATAATTAAATGCGTACCAGGAACCAGGCGTTACAATAAGATCTTTTGTTGGTTCTACAATAACAATATACTCTGATTCTGTGGTTGATAGAACAACACTCTTTTGTAACGCGGACACCTAATTGATTGATGATCCTCCAATTATGAAAGCATAACCTGTTGTGCTCTTTTCCGAATCCACACATCCACCCAAATCTGCATCGACGAACCCTTCTAAGAGCATTCCCTTTTCTTGAAATATAAGGCAACCTAAACTATTTCTTTCAAGTGGCGTAATAACCAATTTACTCCCCTCCCAATGCTCTATTCATGGATTTGAAATGAACCTGCTTACAAATCCCACTGCCTAAACAATATATGTTCTTGTACATACCATAACATACATCAAGCTACTAACCGTAGATGCATATGGAACTTTAAAAATATGTTCCTTGTCTCATTTGGTCTTTGGGGATTGATTCTTTGAGATTCTCAACTGACTACCCAAAGGTGTACTTCTAGCCTTAACATCTGCTATGTTGAACTTTTCTAAAACTTTGTTGATGTACTTTGCTTGTGAAATTTTTAGTGTACCGTTAACTTTGTTCCTGGCTATGCTTATGCCTAATATCTACTCAACAACCCCTAGGTCCTTTATCTCTAACTCACTAGACAATTGCTTTTTAAGCTTTTTGATCTCCTACATGTCGGATCCAACAATCAACACGTTATCAACATATAATAACAGGATGATGTATGAGGAGTTGAATTTTTTTCAAGTAACAATCGTGATCCATCTCATATCTGTTGTGCCCATTCCTTTGCATGAAGCTATCAAACTTCAAGTACCACTGCCTTTGAGCTTCTTCAATCCATATAAACTTTTTCTTCAGTTTGCACACCAAAATTTTCCTTAACAACTATGGGAATCCACTCTGGTTGTGTCGTGTAGATGTCTTCTTACAGGTTGCCATGGAGAAAAGCTATTTTCATATCTAGCTGCTCTAGATGGAGAACTTCGAAGGCTACAATACCCAAGACCAATCTGATTGTAGACATCATCACCACGAGAGAGAAGATCTCATTCTAATTAACCCAATTGTTCTGTATTATCACCTTCCCTATTGGGAGCTTGACCATTGACCAAGTATGGTAATTTTCAAGTGAGGTCAACTCGTGTTCCATAGACTTCTTCCAATGTATGGAATATTTCATCCTCAAGGCCTCTAGATAAGACTTAGGTTCACCATTCTTAGTCAACAACAAGTAATTAGTTGAAAGAGAATAACTGACTATAGGTCTTTAAACTATAGTAGATCTAGCAACTGTAGGAGTAACCGTCTCAGCTTCATGTGTAACCTCATCCTCTGAACTACTATTGTCTGATACATTGGAGCTCTCACTGCTTCCTGAGCTTTCACTTATCTCTGGAGTACTGATAGGTTTTACAACGTCATCATTTGAGATTTCTTCTCACTTAAGTTGATCTTTATTTTCTAGGTATTTGTCATTTCCGGATCTCTTTGCAAGTTCATTCTTATATAGAGAACTCACGTTCAACACCATATCCTGAAGTTTGATAATCTTCTTATCCTCGTTATCCTAGAAGCGGTACCCCATGTCATCCAACCGGAAATCAATAAAGGGGCACTTTCTTGCCTTTGCTTCTAGCTTGTTTCTCTCTGAGTCATTGATTTATACATACGAGACACTGAATACCTTCAGGTGTTTGAGTGAAATCTCTCGACCTTGACATTCCTCTTCTGGAATCTTGAACCATATGGGAATTGAGGGTACTCTATTGATTAAATATGAAGCTATGTTAATAGAATTTTTCCGAAACAGCTTGGGTAAAACTACATGCAGTGTCTTTCTTTTATCCCTCTCGTTCAATGTTTGGTTCATCCTCTCAACTACTTTATTCTACTAAGGTGTTTTCGGAACCATCTTCTTCATTTTGATTCCTTGGTTAACACAGTAATCAACAAATTCTTTTCTACTCTATTCGACCCCATTATCTGATATGAAATACTTTATTTTTAAGTTCGTTACATTCTCCATGATAGCTTCCCGTTTATTGAATGTGATGAAAATTTTATACTTATGCTTCAAGAAATAAACCCAAACTTTTTGCATGAAGTCGTCGATGAAAGCAATGAAATATAGGGATCCTTTCACCGAAGAAATTGAAGTGGTACCATAAACGTCCGAATGAACTAACTCCAACTTCTCGGACTTAGATGGATGACCTATCTTTCTGAAAGCAACCTTCTTTTGTTTACTAAGAATACATGGATCATAGAAGTCAACTGTCACAGTCTTCAGATCTGGTAGTCTTCCTTTGGAGAATAGCATCGTCATTACCTTCTCACTCATATGCCCAAGTCTTTGGTGCCATAGAGTCGTTGCCCCAACTTCTTCAACAACGTGTGCTTCAGCATCAAAAACTTTCACAAAATAAAGTGTACCCCACTTCTAACCTTTAGCAACAATGGAGTTTCCCTTTTGTGACCTTTCACTAATGATCACCAAATGTAACATGCTGACTTTTATCGTTAAGTTGTCTCACTGATATTAGCATCATATTTAAGTCTTGAATGAACTTGACACTCTTCAAAGTCCATTTCATACCCAAAGTCTTATTGAGGACCACATCCCAAACACTAGTAATATTTAGGCTCGTGTTGTCTGCTAATCTGACCGTCCTTCTGTACCGACTTAAATTTTGAACTACTTCTCTGGAATGACCAACATGAAACAACACATCAGAATCCATGATCCATGATTCTGTTGAATTTTCAAGACAACAAATGAGCGCATCATCTTTAGAATCTAGTTTCATATTCACTTCATTCTTTTGTTTATATGCTGAAGGATTTAGGAACTAATTTCTAAAATGATAACCTTTCTCTTTCTCCAGTACTTAGAAGGCTACTGGAGTCTGGAAGCTTCTCCGGCACTCCGTTTGTGCATATCCTCATAGAGGATTAAACTGTGAATACCTTCAAATATTAGCTTAGCACCTCCGACTGAACTACTAACTGTGGTCACTGTTCTGGACCAACTTTTAGGAAACAAAGATAATTATAACAACACATGGACTTCATCTTCACATCTAATATCAACATATATCAATCTTGATATTATTAAGTTGAATTCTTTCACATGGTTTGTCACTGAGCTACCCTCGTTCATCTTCAGATTTACCAACTATCGGATCAAGAACACCTTATTCGTTGCTAAGGGTTTTTCATACATATTGGCTAACGTTGTGATCAGGCCGTATGTAGTCTTCTCATTGACAATATTGTAAGCTACGTTCTTTGCCAATGATAATCTTACTACGCCCAGAGCCTGCTGATCCAATAAATCTCAATCCTCTTGCTTCATAAAAAAAGGTTTCTCTTCGGACAAAGGGTAATGTAAATTTTTTGGTAGAGAAAATATTTGATTTGCATTTTCTAGAAACATAAATCTTGACCATAGAATTTGTCGATCTTAAATTTCCCATCTCATGGCTCTGATACTAGTTTGTTGGGAATGCAACAAAAACAAGTTAAGCAACTTCAGACAAACGATAAACGATTTCGATAAAACTTGCAGAACAAAACTACTAAAAATTGCAAATTTAAAACTATAAATAGGAGCACGATCTTTAAAGTGGTTCAGTCTAACTTGACCTACATTCACTGATGAGAGAGAGAGAGAGAGAGAGAGAGAGAGAGAATTTTATCTGATCACTCACTGTAAGGTATCACTCGTATTTTTGGTTGCCCTGCACAAAAGAAACTGCCTCACTATATTTTCAATCACTCGTATTTTTGGTTGCCCTGCACAAAAGAAGCTACCTCACTATATTTTCTATCTTTATCTAATTTTTGCTGCTACACCGCAAATATATACATACACATTTTGACCGTTTCGTAGAAATAAATTTGGAGGAGAAAGTCTCCCTTCATAGTTACCTACCATATAGCCTTTGACAAAAGTAGAAAACATGAACTTTAAGTCTTGTGTATGACTTTGAAGCAAACCAACAAGAAATTAACGGCTCATGTGATCAATGCTTGTATTGCCATTTTGTTTGACCTTTTACTTCAAGGCTTCATACATAACATATGTGACGATGCATTAAACTCTATTGAGTTGTATACATTGCCGATATCCTGATACATCATTGTGTTAATTATAAGCTGAAATACTTCTTACTTTCTATCTTGCAGACTTGTCACGCTGTCGCAGGTGATGTAACAATTCGGGGTAATAGAGCTCAACATGTTGACTTTACAATTCCCTACCTGAATTCTGAAGTTTATGTGCTTGTACGTGCTTCCCATGAATGGAACCAAACACTGTGGACTTTCTTAAAACCTTTCACCTGGAGACTATGGATCACAATAGTTGTTGTATGTCTCTTCACTGGGGTTGCACTTGCAATTTTGGAATACCGGGAGAAAAATCCAAGCTTTTCAAGCCCAATATATAACCAACTCATAATGGTTATATGGTTTCCCATTTCCACATTCTTCTTCCAGGAAGGTACATAGTTTGAGATATACTAAAATTTAAATTCTGAGAAGAACCTTACGTTTTGAATTTAATTTTACTTTTCATTCTCAAATAGTTGTTGTGAATTCTAAATAAAATAATGGCAAATAAAACGTTAGTTTTGGGCGCACGGAATTTACGTTTTTTCTTTGTTGCAAAGAGAGATCTCAATACATAAGGTATCGTGGTTCATTGATCGTGTTTGTTTTGTCAATAAAATCCACGGTACGTTAAAAAATAAAGTGGTTTTAAATGCACCTTTTCTTAAAAATGGTGGAGTATAAATCACATCAATGGAACAAAGAGCCTTTGACCTATTATAGGAGTTGATGGGAATGTGTCGGTAAGTCAAAGGCTGAGAGTTCAAGTCCATCTTGTAAAGAAAGGTCTAGATTTATTAGTAGAGTAGTGATTATGTGTGTTAACTGTTCTAAAGTATATATCACATTAATGGTTAGGAAACAAATTAACGAAAGGAAGATATTTCTATGCAAATAATTAATTTATGCATCTTCTCTTCGCAGGAAAGATACAAAATAAATGCTCCAAAGTTGTGCTTGTGATCTGGCTAAGTATGGTTTTCATAGTTATTCAGATTTTCACCGCTACTTTGTCCTCATGGTTAACACTAGATCAACTACGTCCTATGCCTCCAACTTTTGAACATGCTGGATACCAAGATGGTTCCTTTTTTAAAGATCTCATAACAAAAAAATTCAATTGTTCTGACAAGCAGCTTTTACCTCTGAAAAGCGTTGAAGAATATAAAAGTGCTTTGACCAGTGGCATCGTAAGTTTTGTTGTTGATGAGCTCCCCTACATCGAACTCTTTCTTGCTAAGTATGGCTCTGAATACATGAAGTTTGGACCAATAAACCAGGAATCTGGAATTGCATTTGTGAGTGTCTTCGTTATTTAATCTATTGATTATGTGATTCTATTAGTCTACTGATTATGTGATTCTATTAGTTTTCTATATTAATCTATTGATAATGATAATGTGATTCATTATTCTACTATAAGATATATGAAAGAATAAGTTCAGATGAATCACAACGTAATAATATAAATTCTCTAACTTTATGTGTTTCATATCTCAGGCATTTCCTCGTGGATCTCATTTATTGCAAGATTTTTCTAGGGCAGTTATTAATGTTACTGAAAGTGAAATTCTGATGGAAATGAAGAAAAAATATCTTGGGTTCTCTACTAATGATACATCACAACCTAATCAAAACCCACCACAACGTCTTGATGTTCAGAGTTTTATTGGATTATTCATATTCATGGGGACTATTATTGTAGGTGCCATTATCACATCAGAAGTTTCCATTATGCGTAGAAACAAGAAAGTCCTTCCTGTAAAATCATCAACCGATTTATGGATATGATCCATCTACAACAATACAGGTGGTAGGAACACTTATATATCTAGACTGCAACGTGCATCTCTGTTGGAGTAATTCAGAATTTGGGCATATTTGGGAATTTTCTTTATTTTGGTTTAAGTCTTTTTTCTTTAATCTCTGTTCCTATTAGATTATTTTTCAAATACCTTTAGTATAAGTAGGAGTAAACCTTTAATGCTTTTCCCGTTCATTATTGCGTTTTTCATTAATAAAAGCTTAGAGAGAAAGTTTAGTTTATGCCTTTTATAAATCTTTCTAATTATGCTAGTCCCTACTTAAAAGGGCAATATCATCAATTTTCAGCGCCACAGAAGTCCAATAAGCACGTCCAAGGTCAGGCCCAGGTTCAGGAGAGCTTGACCAAACTGCCATTGTTGCTGACCCTGTTCACTCATTGTTGCAAATGGTGCTTCTATCACTTTTTTCATTGATGCTAATTCCCTTGTATTCATCTAAAAAGAGCAAGTTGCGAAGCACTTACACTACACTTAAGTAGTCACAAAAAATTTACCGAAAAGAAAATAAAAACCTGAGCACTTAAACAATAATATTAGGGTTCTACTTATAATATTTTTATAACATTAGACTTCGAGAAGTCTATGTCTACCCAACTAAAGAAGTGAAAATAGTTTCTATCGTTTGAATTTAACCCCTCCCCAAAAAACTAAAAATTAATAAACAAATCAAATCCCGTAGTTCTAGTAAGATACTAAGACATACTCAATAGAGACAGACTGTTATAGTTATATAGTAGAAATAAATAAAAATAGGTGGTTATTTCTTGTATCTTGCCAAACTTAAATCGATTAGTACTATGTATTGTTTCCAATTTAATATTCAAAGATTACATGTAATGAAGATGGTGAGGAGCATAAAAGATGCCAGTTTATGCACCTATAAACTCAAAAAAATAGTTTTTTTATATAAAGAAAAGAAGAGAAAAAATTCAAGATTCAGAAAATTTATTCTACTTAACATCAAAGTTTACCAGTACAACTATTAAAGATAAAAATATTTTTCAAAATTAGGAAACACCTCTAGCTACGTTATGTCGTTGTTATAAGTGTGAAAAAGCATTTCTAAAATAAATTCAATAGCGAGAGTAACCACCTATTTTTTTGATGTTAAATCTGATCTTGAGACATGTAGAATCAATAGAGTTTTTATATTTTTATTTTTATAATTTTATTTTGACCTACTGCAACAACATGTTTTCACAATTGCATACGGAAATGTCGCCGTATTTGTTACAAATAGACAAAGACTATTGTGATCGGAAATATAGCAACGACTAGGTTCCATTTCTTGTACGTATTCTAAAAGATATGAAAATTGCATTAACTAGAGAAAATAAATTAGTGATGGAAATTAAATTAATTATTAAGCATAGCCTATTTTCCATCAAATCAAGGCACATTACACTGCCGACCAGGTCTACTGCACTGTTTAATTAAAAAATTTCATTGGTGGTTAAGATTTAGTCAAAGGTATAGATAGATACCGAACTGAGACAATTACATGACCAATTCTGCAATTTCTTGGCAATTCAAGCACTGATAAAAGAAATATATATTTTATACGAAAGTACACACATCTTAAATATTTGGACTAATAACTGTTGAATACTTGTTGAACGATTGAAGCTGTATTTTCCATAATCAACTATCAGCATACCCTCATTTCAAAATTTATCAGTGATTTTTTTATATCTCAAAGAGTCAATCTGTCTTGTTGGAAAATTAATTAAGTAATATTTCTTCATAGATTCGTCGGGCCTTCGTGTAATTATGTTTAATTGACAGTTAGATTATTTTAATCAAAGAATTAGTTGCAAGTTAAGAACTAGTCAGATGATATATAGAAATCTATACATGAAAATGAAAGCATATAATTATATTGCTACAATATATAACTCAGCTACTACATAAACTAATAAATAACTTTAAAGTTCAATGAATAATTCCTATTTTGGATTATAAAATGAAGAGTACTTGCTCACATGTAGAAGTGTCATTTTTCTTGGAAAATTTCGTACTTATCTTCCGAACACAAAACTGATTTATTCAAAATTTTATTGATGAATTGAGGTACCATGCATGTTTCAATTTCAATGCCCAGCAAAATCCTGTTAACTGAACCTTGTGCAAATTTTTGGATGAGTACCATGAGTTCTACTCTTCATTTTCCATGAAAGCAATATCATTAATACGCCCTTGCAAGACGTGCGATCTTGGACAGAATGTAATGAAACTGAGACTTCTGATGGTTTTGTAAACATCGACCGATGATATATGAGTGACAAGGAAAATCCCTTTGTTGACTTGGTCTAGGACGAAGTGTAAATCTAGTACAAGGTGCTTCTTCCGAGCATGGAAAATTGGATTTTATGAGTAGTGAATTGCACCTAAATTGTCACAATAGATAGTTGGTATCAGCATAGAGGAATATCCAAGCCCGAATAGCATAAGTAAAACACCCAAACCCAAAATCGATGCGTCACAGTAAGCAGAACACATGGCCCCTCTGCATAGCACAACACCCAAACCCAAAATCGATGCGTCATCGTAAACCATAAAACACTCAACACCCTATGGAAGGGTCAAAACTGGTACCTCGCGTAACTTCAGTCTCAAATCCTGAAATGATGCCTGCTGCTAAATCAACTCAAAGGAACTGCAATCTTGACGAAATCCTGAATAAACCGCTTATATTAGCCTGTTAACCCAACGAAACTCTGAATCTCAGATGGAGACCTCAGAACTTCCAATCGCATTACCGCCTTCATCTTAGCCGAATCGACCATGATACCATTCTGATACAACTTCTCCTTCCTCAAGGTCTCGAGAACCTCCTGCAAATGCTCTTCATGTTGCTCCTTGGACTTAAAATACACCAAGATATCATCAATAAACACAATCAATGAACGAACCAACATCGGTCTGCACACTCGGTTCATGAGATCAATGAACATTGTTGATGCATTGGTGAGCCCAAATGACACCACCACCAACTCGTAATGTCCATAGTTAGTCCTGAAAGCCTTCTTTTGAATATCTTCATCTCAGAATCTCATCTGGTAGTAACCCAACCTCAAATAAAGTTTTGGAAAACTAAGACACACCCTGAAGTTGAGCATATAAATTGTCGATCCTCAGAACCGGGTAGCGGTTCTTCATCGTAAGCTTATTCAGCTCCGTATAATCGATGCACATCCGATGCGATCCGTCTTTCTTCTTGAAAAACACGACGGGCACTCTCCAAGGCAAACTACTCAAATAAACTACTTTTCCAACAGCTCCTAAAGATATATCAAAACTCTTGCATCTCAAGAGGTGCAAAACGATAGGATTCCCTCGCTATCGGAGGCACACCAAGAACTAAGTCAATCCTGAACTCACTTATCTCTCAAGAGGAACCCCGGTAAATCCTTAGGAACCACATTAATCCCGAGAGACAGGCACATCCACAATGGTCTTCTTTTGTTTAGCCAGGGTCGGTCCACTGGTTTTCTATACCTGGGGCGAGATGAATAACTGATGCCCTTATGTTTGTATCGACGACGCACCAAACGTTTATATAACATAGATTTTATTATTTATAAGTACAATAATTTTTTCTATTTAATTAAACTCCATATCAGTTTACATTTACATCCTTCAAGGGTAATTACAATACTAATATATTTTCACAAATTAAGAATCTACCTCATGCTATCTACAATAACCAAGCCTCAACCAAAAGATACACTTCATATTTCTAACTAAAAAGTAAAACAATATATTAATAAATGATTAAATAAAGGCGAATCCTTAATAATTTTAAATTGTTTAAGAACTATAAATATATATACCAGCTTCAACATGTGGTTCTCCCTACGAAACAAAGAGTAGGATCAACAATACCTCACATTGGATTAAATCATCAAAGCATATAAAAAATCAAAAAAAAAATCTCTAAAAAAAATCTTTGAAATCTAAAATTGGATAACATTTTAAGAATCAAAGCTCAAAGTAAATAACAACTTTATGAAACTTGGATCAAATGAATCATTTTTTCATCACTGCAAGAGTTTATCAAAATCATCGACATAAACGAAATCAAACATAAACATCTGAACTTGTATTCTTTAGCTGATACAGAATCAGCTCAAGTCATTGTTGAGACACAAAAAAATCTTATATGTACAATAAATAGAGCGTATGTTTTTAAAGGAAACCAGTTGTAAAAGACTAGGCCTCCAGGTTAACCACATAGGGTTAAGTATATGCCTCCATGACTAAACTTCTTTTCAAGAGAAATTAGGGAAAAAAGCTTAAGTCGTGTTGAGAATGTGCACTGAGATGGAACTGTGAGGATGTGAACCAAGAACTTAAGAAGAATATGTGGTGTGGCTGGCTGTGTATCACCCACGAAGAAGCAATCGACGCCTAGAACAATGAAACCAAGACTCCACCACATAAGTTAAGAACCAAGAGCTCTCGTCCTACAAATATCTCATAGCCCATGTTGCTGAACAAATGATCGGACCTCCTCGTGCACCCTCACCATGAATAACAAGTTCTCCCCTACTTTGGGTTCGAACTTGCACCAACTGACGCTCACAATCGATAATAGCCTCATTCCAGATCAGCCAATCCATACCCATAGTGGCCTTCGTCTCTCAGAGGAATACGAACAAGATAAATAGAAAACCACACTAGGAATATCTACAACACACAATCCCGTTAAATCTTTGACTTCATCATGGTACAGTCACAAGAGATATAAAGAAGCTTAGGTAGACCTTAAACTGTCAACATTGCTTTACAACCTCTTAATGACTTCAAACTTTACTCATAATTGTCCCAACTAACTAATAAGTTCTTAATGAATGCTTAATACTCAACTACTTATGGATATGTAGGTTGGAATTGATAATTTTACAGTTTGATTACTCTAAAAATTGAATCTATACTTTGAAAATCAATTAGTTTCCAAACTTA